TTGTTAGGGTTTTTCGTATTTCGACTACGAAATCGCACTGAATCAGCTGAAGCTAATTGGATTGAGTGTGAAATATACAAAATATTCAGAATTGCTGCCCAGAAAGAAGAAAGGCCATTCTGGTCCAATCCTTTTCTTTAGCGAGCTGTATAATAATGGTTTAAAATATGGTCACCTTTGAAAGTAGACTTTATACAAAATGAATGGAATATTACACAGTTGAATAAGTTTCACTCTGATGTTTAATGATTAAAAACTTTGGAGAGCAAACATTTCTGCAAACAAATCTAGAAAATAACTGCAACAACCCACTTTGGCAGTTTGGAAAGTCAGCTCGCCTCAAAAATCCAATTCGCTAACTCAAACAGACATTCTATTGATCGAAATGTTTAAAACTGTTTTCCTTCATCAATCTATATTTCTTAGAGCGCCAGACCTTTCGGTCGCTGGTCAGAATATTAAACAGTTCAGCGAAGTTTACCTTAAACTAATTGGAGGCAAAAGTTTTTGGTAGTTCCGTGTTTACTTGTTTTAACTTCGAATCACCGACCAGATCTCCGGATAAAGTAGTTTATAGAGTTTCACCTACATTTTTACCGATTAGCTACCGAATTTTATTGACTGCCCACAATATTCTTTTCGTGAAATTTAAGTTGGTTAAACATCAGTTAATAGTTGGTTTATGGCCCGAAACTTTCGATGTTTTTTTTTTCTTTTTATTTCGATTACCGGTGTATTAAACAGAGCGGCAAAGTTTATCCTAAAGTAATTAGAGAGCAGTTGCAACGATTCCTGATATTTTAATGTGTCTTTGCGATTGAAAAAATGGCATGTGAATGAGAGGAAAATAGATGAGATTGCAGGTTCTTGAACGTAGCCTGAGATAAACTTCCGAAAGAGGATTTATGGGGGCACCCTCTCGACATGGAACTGTTAAAAATTCTGCTACTCTTCCCTTTTTAATGAACGTGCAGAATTATTGCGTGCGGAGATGCTTTTAACTAGAGAGCGTTTACAATTTGTGGCCTCTCATGGATAAATACCGCATTTGCTGTGCGAATCGCTTACCATTTGGAAAATCTACGGTTTGCAAAGTGCAAATTTAGCGTTGCTGTTCTGCAGCTTTTACGTTTTCCTCTTGGATATTTTACTAACGCTATTGACCTTTGACTAATTGTCCGTTTCATTAATTCAGAACTCCATTTGGAGTAATTTAAATGATCACTGATGAACATATGTTGGATGGATTTGCTCTGGGTTCACATTTCTCAAGAACCCGTTAAGCTATTTCGCATTTATAAGTATGCATAGATAATTGGCAATATTTCAGAAAAACACTTTGAACAAGATCGGATAATTTATATTCGTCCAGCTGGACTACTGTTTTGAACTCCTCAGTTTAAAGGTCGCTTGCTATCAAAATAAACTGGCTATCATTGGGCTAATTAGGTTTCCAGCTGGGCACTGATAGTTCGCCCCATATACACATGCACAAACAAAAAAAAATGGAAATTTTACAGGGCAAAGCGGCAACGAGTTCCACCATTAATTCGCGAACCAGAAACAAGAACTACTAATAAAAAAAGATTAATTGCCGGCCAATGGAGAAAGGGCGGTTACATCGCTTTGCACTTATTTTTATTTAGCATTAGAACTTTGCTATAAATCAATGTCGCCTCGTTTGCCCAGCTGAAGCCTTTTCAACCCGAAATATTCCCATACACCGGTTCAGAAGGTGAGCCAAATTTGTACTTTTTTACATAATTTGCCACGCTTAGAAAGGCAATTGATAGAAGGAAGCTTTGGTTAAAACCCCTGTCACAAAAAAATCATAAAATCAAGTGGTTGATTGATCGTGAACGGCGAAAAGTTTCATTTCAGTAGATGATTTTGTCTAACAGTGTCTTTTGCTCAACTTTTCACCAACATTTCTCGACTTAGAACCATTACTTTCAACAGTTTTTGTAGTTGCTTTGTTTCTTCGCCTCTTTGCTTAGTTATGCTTTTTTCTGTTTCTGTCTTTTCAGTTGATGTTCATTGGACGGTTTTCTTCTCTACAATTTGCTGTGATTTTGTGTCGTTTTGGTGTTCCCAATTTTCATATTTCTAGTTCGTTCTTCTCATTCGTTCAGTGTTCTTTTCACCAATAATTTTAATATGCTTTGCGTTGCGACGGAGAGCTTGGATTGTGACGAAAACTTTTCAATATGACACAGGAAGGAAGTGTGTAGAACACATAATAAATTATTTAGCAATAAAGGATGAAATAACTAGCAATATTGAAGAGGACGTTGATGAAGATGGAGAAAACTGAGAAGCATAGCAAATAAAGCTGAATAGAAATCGATACCAAATGCTGCTAAGCACTTTCATTTTCAACCAGGAAGGTAGAAAAAAAATTTAAATACTAGAAAATCAATCCCCCAAGACAAATTGAAGCTGATGGTCAGTAGAGGCAAGGGCGAAGTTTTTAATAGGAAAAAAGCCCGCTATGTTGAACGCCAAAGCGGAGAAAAAAAGCCGAGGAAAACTTTCGGTTAATGCAAAGCCGAGTTTCCACCGATTGACAGATGCTCTTTTCGATTCGGGGCCGATCTCGAGGGGAATTAAACACAGTTTCCAGTCGCACTTTTCTATTTAAATTCCCCCGCAACGGCGCTGCCACGCGTCTGAAATATTGAATCTAAACCTGTGCCAGTTCTGACAATTTTCAGATTTTCACCCTGCCAGGCGAAAAGTCCGTTTATTGGAAACGTTGCTGCTTGTTTATTTATTGGTTTGATTCGTATTGGATTTGTTTCGTGATTTCGTCTTTTCACCCTGAACTTGCCTGCGAAATGTGGCTTATTGGTTGTCAGCATGCTACTTCCACTGTTGACACGACTCAGCAATAATTCATTGTAAATTTACGAATTAGTCAATAGAGCCAACGAAAATCATCCGGACAAGGATCAAAAGAAAACTTTGCACTTTTACGCAGAAATTGTTAAATAAAATCACCAAAAGAGAGTACATTTTAATCTTAATGATTAGTTGAAATCGAAAAAATTGAAAGTTGAATAGAAGGACCGGAGAAAAACTGTTAAAGGTCTAGAGTTACTGTCAATTGACTAGTAACATTTTCTTGTTTAATTTAATTATTTTATGCTGGTTTTGCTGCTTTACGAAAAAGTTGCTAATGGTTGTTCCTATTAAACCGCATGAATTGAGAAAACCTGGAAATTTGTCGACTTGTAAACAATGCAACGTGTCTTGGTATTATTTTACCAGGTCAGTGTCGAGGATTTCTGACGAAATAAAAGCAAATAACGTCATTTTAATGCCTGATAAATGTGCTTTATAAGTTTCCGAGGCCGCGTACAAATTGAGGAGGTCTGAGAGACGACGGTGTTTTGAGGAGCTTTCACTTAAAGCATCCAATTTCTCACTGTGAGACATTTATGAGGCCAAAAATGCATTTTTTCACGTGAAGTCCACCTGAACGTGCGTTTGGAGCTTCAAATTGATCGAACTGTTATGGTTTTGCAAGCTTATCCTACCTTGTTATAGTACAAAATACAATTTTTGTATACAAATACAAAGTTTCTTGAGCTTCAGTTTGGTCATACAGAAAAATCAGTTTATTTTCGCTACGTGCGTTTTGGTTGGCTTCAAGTCAAACACCTGAGGTCAATGTGGAGTAAATGTAGAAAAACAGTATCGATAAAGCGAGCAGATATTTAAGTCGAGAGACCGCCAATCGAAACGACACCGGCCCCGAAGGTCCCGAAAGAAAATGGAAAACAGATTAAACGGGACGACGTGACCATTTTAAAGATGGAGTAATATTAAGATAAGGGGGCGAGAAGAATTCAGATTAGTTCGGCAAAGAAGTTATCTTATTTTGGAGACACATTATTATAAAACGGAAAGCGATTCTACAGCATGCGGCGCACGTACATTTTAACCGCTTATTTTCCGCCGCCATCGGATCACATTTTGCACGCCGTACATGCATGACCCTTTATATCTTCTTATCTCCCCATTCTATATGCTTCTGTTTTAACCTTCTTCAAATTGTTATGATCGGGCTCGTTTTATCTAATCGAAAGGTGGCAAGGAACGATTCTCTACTAAATTCGAACATTCCCAAGTAACGCCAAGGTTGTCATTGTAGGATGAACCAACCAAGAAAAATTGACCCCAACCTATTAGGCGACTAAGACTGAAAGCAACAATGAGCTTTTCTATTATGTATGAATCCATCAATTTTCTCTTGAATCTCTTCATTCTCGTGAATTCATTAAAGTGCTTCGGATGCAGTTAAAATATTTACCTTTTGGAGCCTTGGTGTGATAAATATTMTTTTCCTTCCTGGGTTTCATTCAAAACGTGAMATAAAACTKTGTATATCGTTCGTTTCATATAACGTTTCGGCGAGACAACAGCGCCATCATCAGATTTAAAATTCAGCACAAACTYATAATTGGGAAATATTAGATCCTTTTAGGTCTTGGCTGTCTTGAAACCTCAAATTTGTTTTTTGTTTGCGCAATCAGAAAATTAAATCAATGTAAATTAGTGTGATAAACATTGCCACTAAACTCGCTTGAGCAACTTAAGTTTGGCACTAGATTTTTTAAATCGTCAGCACTTTCTAATTTATCGTTATTGGACTATTTGAAATATATGCAATTATATGTGTACAATAACAATAACAAGAAGTCGTCGTTTCAAGTTAATCAACTATAACATATTGCATTCCCTAGAAGAAGAATTGAATATATTTAATATTAATTAATTGAATTATTTAATAAGTGTTTATAATTTACAACGAACGCCGTGTGCGTGATTTGCAGAAGTCCATCGTGGAAGCAAACGTTAAGACGTGAATCTTTCGTGGATATTATCATTGCGGACTAAAGTGGCTATTGAAGGCAGGAATACACGTATATCTATTGCCATTATTTCGCGATCCATCGAGCCCATTTCTTCCTCTGACGGTCCGTGAAACGAGTTTACGTACAGCGACGCCATTTCGCGATCCATCGAATCGAACGATAGTGCCCATCTGTTCTTTTCGCAGTTTGGATATTTCTTATAGTTTGTTTCTGTTTGTTTGTTTATTCCTGGCGTTGTTTAAAACAGGTAGCCGTCGCCGAGAGCAGGCGTCCATCTGCATCCCCACTAAAACTGTTGTGGGCCGCACTCGACGACGGCAACGACCTAGCGTCGCGACGCCTCGAGCACATGGTTTGCGGACGTCTTCTGGTCCGGTCGCACGCAGTGCGGAATTTCGCTAAATATCGCGAACAGTTTTGTTTACATTTTTTCTCACTGAATTTTGGGACTGTTCTCGAGACCATTTCTCTTTGGACTCTAAGTGGAACCGTTGATGAGCATGTTTTACTTAGTTATTGAAGATTGACATGGGAACATGTTGATGGTTGTTCATGATTTTCAAGGTACTTACAATTTAATAATTCTTTAGAAACATAATTCTGGAAGTACTAAAGAAACTGTAACCAATCAGGCGCAAAATGTAAAAAATCAAACATTTAACAGTTCTTGTTGCTTCCTATCCATAAAGGGCCCAAAAGGTTTTATCAACAAAATCGAAAAATTACACTACTTGTTTCAACTCTTGATCTCGACTCAAAAACCGAGACTTTCAAGATCGTTTTCAAACCAGACTCGATCTGAACAATTTTTACAATTTGTCCGACGTAAAAACCCGCTCCTGTCCAGTCTCATTCCCGATGACGAGATTTTTCAGCAGCAGAACTCCAATTTCAGTCTGCATCAACTGATCTTGAAGCTGACAGTTTTTATGCAATAATAATAAAAATAATATTATCTTTTACAAAAACCATGTCATGTTGTCCGATTTTAAGTCATTTGGAAGTTGTACCTTGGACAATATCTGAATGTGAATTAACTTTGTAAATATTTTATGCATATCACCATTTTTTGAAAGTTTAACCAACTGAACTAGCTAAAATATAGACTTAAAAAAATGTTAACCTAYTCTGAAAGTTTTTTTGAAAAGTCGATCTGTTGAAAACCATTGTTYTGCTGGTTTATGTTTAGTTATGTGTGTTTTTTCCACAAAATTCCATTCGTYGTYTGTTCTGCTTCAAAAAAATCGAAACACTCTCTATATAGAAACCACGTGGAACAATCATACAGTGGGCGACTGAGACTGTTTGTAATATTTCTAAAAATAAATGAAATTTGCTTTTGATATTGTTTGATATTTTGAACCATATTTATAACTTATCACAGTAAATATGTGTTTTAAAGCAACTGGAGACACCGCTTTATATATGAGCATATAAACAATTCGCTGAACACCATGCAGGTGCTACTTCTATGAGCTTATTATTTAGTATCTGARCCATTACTACAAGTTGCTCGGAAAATCTTAATTTTTTTGCCTAAAGACACGCTTGCGACCGTCTTGGGTTTATTTGCCTCAGATTTTGCACCATTGGGCACCCCAAAATCCCGATTTAGCTCCACTTGACTTGCATTTACGTTATTATTTTGGAAGACCATTTATATTCTATGTTGTCTTTATGTAACTTTTATTGGCTGAAAGCTATGGCACCCTTAGTTTTATAAAGGTAGAGAGTAAAATGTACAGGGTGTTCATTGTGAGATTCCCAAGTTTAACACCGTTAAGGATTTGTAATGTAATCTAAACTGCATTTTTGATCGATTGATCAGTCATTGTTTGATTTTGTCGAAGTTCCAATTGGGTTCTCTTTTCAGATTAAATTGGGCAACTAGTCAATGAAAAGTGATGAAAAGGAACCGGTGCTTAACTGCGCTGCTGCCCAATTTAGATGAGATCTTCTGAGTGTCCTGCAATGCCCCGGCTAATCCTTCTGGGAATCCTGCTGCAGATTCTCCTAGACTATCCAGGTAGAATAAATAAACTAACTTTTTTGTTTTCGTTTTTGATAAGCAAAGTACTGTTTGAATTTGTTGAACAATGGGCACAAATCAAATTGTAGTCGTTTGTCCACCATGCAGGACCATCTCTTCATAAAGCCGCACATATTTCAAATATAGTTCGTCCCCGGGGACTCGCGAATTTCCCACACAATTTTTCCCGACGCAAAATTGGAAAAATGAAAATGTTTTAAAACCCCAGTTAATTGTATTATCGCCGTTCCTTCCGCATAGTTTTTGTATCCGGATCCGGAGGTATTAATTTAGTTTCCATCTGAACATTCACAACTTTTTTCTGGTTAGTTGAATTGACCGAGTTTTGCAAACGATTTCACACCAGTTGGACGTTAATTTGGTAGGAAAACTTTCAGGAATTATATAGCTCGAATTACTGGGATGTAACAATGAAAGTGAAATAGAGTAAAAATGAACGGGGAAATTGCGCTTATTATATAAACTGAAACAAAACTGTATTCTGATTTATTTTCCTGACTGCGTGTACTTGTTATGATATTCATATCTTTCCTGGGTCTCAGTCAAAGTGTCAAGTAGCAATTTTTAACATCGTTTATTTCATTACGTTTCGGCGAGACAACAGCGCCATCATCAGATTTAAGATTTACACACACTGGATGAATTTTGGTACAAGTCTCAAGTTCTTGCATCTTTTTGACTAGATGCAGAGTATGTGTAAATTTTAAATCTGATGATGGCGCTGTTGTCTTGCCGGAACGTAATGAAATAAACGATGTTAAAAATTGTTACTTTGGCTGAGACCCAGGAAAGATAAGAGTATCATAACTAAAACAAAACATCGATTATTGCATGACCATTGATTGATGCACCATTTATTTAACGAAAAATGTCCATTAATTTTAATCTATCAATTGATGAATTGTCGAGACTGAAAGTCTACCGTATAAGTGGGATTTCAACTTAATGAGTAGGATTAAAACATTTTCAAATTTAGTTTAGAAGAAGTAGATCGACTTTACAGATATATTTTCTTCCTTTTGCCGAGTATATTTCGTCAAATGGCTGCACGAATAAGTCTTTCAATATAATAAAATTAATTTAAAATAACACAAGCAACATAAAACTTCCTGAATGTAAAATGTTGAATGATACAGATAAAACATGTCAAATAGCATCAGAATTCATAAAATCTTGACAAAAGCTTTGTGAAATCCGGCTTGAAGTACCAAATGAAAATTGACAAAACCATTCTCGTTTCATATAAAATTTCACGAGCTTAAGTAAACCTCTGAACTTCTAAATGCCGTTATGTTCTTTCTAATAGAAAAAAAAGAGAAACACCCTTTTAGTTCCGAGAATAAAATTTCAAAAGATCATGATAAACGTTGCGTTGGAGCAATCATAAGTTTTCCAAGCCAGTTCCACTCATCTGGTTATGGAGCTGAGATCAAACTTGAGGTAATTTTAAGTTCGGCCAACAGGGCGAAATGAAAGAAAATTACCTGAGAACAGCGGCAACAATAATACCCTTAATATAACATGGACCTGGCTAATGACTAAAGAAAACTTATTGCAGGCCGAAAGCAAACGTTGATGTCTCGGTTGCGTGTCAGACCTTAATTATCCCCCGTCGTTATTTAACACTATTCCTCGTGCAGGGGAAGATTTGCAGGGTGGAAGTCCCGAATTGCTCCCGCTGATTACCGGTGGATTTGTTCCGTCTGGAAAATCGGTTTGATCAACTGGATTTATGTGCGATTTAAACTAGTTTAGCATTTTTTCAAAAGCTGATTGTTTTCGTGGTTTGTGTTACGTGTTCTCTTTAATGCCAATGCCGAATGGGCGGTGTTCTTGCTCTTAATTGTTTTTTCAAATTAAAGTTAAGTAATAATAGCAGTTACATTTAGGAATGTTTTCCGGGCTTTGAAGCCGTGGTCTATCGGAATTTCTTCCTACAAGAAATCCTTCCTTTTTTCTGTGACATAACTTTCTGTTGTTCCATTCAGATTCTCCTTTGCTACTTTCATCGACTTTTTGCTGAGTAATTGTCGATATTCTTGGATATATTTGATCCGGAATTTTTACACTTTTCTTCCCCTCCTCGATTCAAATAAATTCATTAATTTCTTTTAAATCTTTAACTCTCTCGACGTTTTGATAAGGATGTGGGTTCTTCCGCAGGTTTTTACATCCTATGAATAACTCTTTTATTTGCTTCAATTATTTAGTTTGTTCGAATATTTACAAGGACATTTTGCCCAATGGGACTGATTGGCTTTTGATAGCATTAGACCTGTAGATTTGGCATGGGCATGTTTCGAAATACTTGTTCTTCTTTTGCTTATTTTATTTCTTAATCAATGTTATTTCTGTCTATTTATAACTTGGATACTTTCCGATCAACTTCTGCAGACAAATGGATTTCATCTTCATTATTATTTGCCAATGTCCTTCGCAAAATAAACTAAAGTTTGTCCACTTTTTTGCAACGGTAAACTGGTTTTTCCCCAGTTGTTGCCCGCAAACTTCCAGTTGGTTTCGCAAACCGAAAATATCACCGTTCTTAACTCGAGTAGAAAAGTCTTTCCCGCTACCATAAATCTTAGCCGCAGATCTAACGAGATCAACACGAGTGCCAAATTCTATCATGTAACCAAACATGTTGTGATGAAATAAAAGTGGTTTTCCTGCGCCGCCCTAACTCCCCCATACACTTTCATTAAAGCCGGTAACGTATCATTTTTCCTCAATTTATCAGAATGACGGAGAGTGATCGATAACATCCCTTAAGCCTTCCGTGACAAGAAAAATACAATTAATAACAATATCTATGTCTTAGGTTTCCGCTGCGAGCACACTTGCTTTATTTCTGGTTTTGTGGCTAAAATTGAATAATCCTTACAATAGTGCTTAGATATTTTTGAATAGACCACAAGTAGCTTAAAAGGTGAATGTGTATCTTGCTTCTTGATGGTTTCATTATAATATTAATTTTGAGTTTTCTTCCAAAAACTCCAATTTTTTAAATTTTTTGAACAAAACGAATATAAAATGGACGATTTCTAAGAAACTAAGTTTTTTCTGCCGAAATCTCGTTACAAACACACGCGCTATTTAAAAGGTCTCCATTAAATCGTCAGTAGAAACTCGACATTTTCGAAGATTTTCAAATGAACTGATATTCCAACTATAATTTTGTTTCTGGACGTAAAAACTTTTTTTAAAACGTTTATTTTTACAAACCAAAAATAGATTCTTTCAACAGCGAACTAACTACCTTAACTGCTAACTTAAGACTAATTTCCTCATGCCGAATGCGCAGCTTATATAGTGATTAAATGCTGCATCTACAGTTATGGATTAAAATACACAGTGGTCTGCGTAAGTGGTCATATTACTCTATACAAAATATTGGTAACCGAAAATCGAAATTTCTTATCAAAGAATGACGCTTGAATATTTAGAATTTTTCAACTGCTTTTTCTAAATTTTTCATATAACAATTATTCACGAAATAATGTACCTCATGTTTGTCTCCTAAAAATAATTTATATGTAATAATCGTCTGCAATATTATGGATAGGGAACAATAATAATGTGAATTTTTGCAATAAACAAAATCAGTAGACAATCATAAATCCGAAATACTTTTGAATATAAAATGTGGTAAAACCAATCCCCATTGGGAATAAATATTAATATCGAATGTAAATATTAAGGACATAAATCTTAGTCGGAACACGATAATAGTTCTAAAATTGACATCAACTATTGCGCCTGTATATTTACGGGAAAGCGTCCCAATTTCGTCCCGAAGGACGGGATAATGTTCCATGTTCTAATGCGATTTATGTTGTCCTTATTAAATAACCCATAATAGAAATGGAAATTTGGGGATTGCAGACCAAGCGGCCATAGATGGAGTAATCAGATAAAAAAAAATGCGGCCGCAAAACATGCCCTCGACGTGAGTAATCAGTTCGGCTGCATATCAATCAATACAACACTTACCGAAACGTTGGCTCTCGGCATCAGAAAACAAATCAAAAGAATGATTCGCACAATCCAATTTCGAATGCCATAAATCAGGCCGATGCAAACTGTTCCTGCATTTGACGTTGTTTCTCGTTATTTTTTTTGGAGGCCTCGTCGGTTTTAATACCCTGCAACGATTTTCCCTTCATGCTATTGGTACTTGAGTAATTAAGTCGGCTTTCAAACTGGGCCGTTCAAATGTTTCATAAGTTGATCACTTTTGGGCAAATTGAGAAACGCTGGTTCATCATGTTCAAGAACGGATTATGTTGGTCAGTTTGTTTGCTCAAACTCCTGGTGACTCTTGACTGAATTGTACACTCGTAAATTGACATCGTTCTAATCAATCTAGGATGTCCTTTATAACAAAATCCTAGTTTGAGTTTTTTCAGAAACTTTTCTTGCAAGAGGCAAACACACTTTTACCTAGAGAGGCATTTTATATCAAATGCAGCGAATATCCGATTGCAAACGCTTGGGTTCTTCGAGGAAAAAAAGAAAAGATGACAGTGGTCTTAAAGTAAGGGTTTTTCAAAAGATTGAAAGTTTTTGACGACCCAAAAGCTTCAGTGTTTTGAACACGAAGAACCGGGTTATTTTTCCATATTTCGAAATAGATTTTTTTTGAGATTTGTTCGCACGCCGATTATAAATAACGATCAATGCAAAAATATTTCATTTTTGTTTTTATCTCGAATTAGATGAAAGCTTCTGTTGTTCGGTTTCAAATGAACTAAAGCTTATAATAGGTAAAATGATTATTCCTTAGAACAATCTTTCATACAAGAGAGCGTACCTTCTATCAAACGAGGCAAATATCAACTTTTAATTTGCTGGGCTTACGCAGTTCTCTTTTTGGAAAAACCATTATGACGAAATGAAAAATGTTTTTCCAGAAACCATAATTCGTATGTTTAAGTTAAGTAACAGTGTAACTCTAAAAGTTCTTAAAGTTTTGA